GATATAGAGCCATGGTAGCTGTCAGGTCCTGAGTCATCTTCCAGTGGCACCCACATAACCAGAAAAGGAATATATATGCTTCTGCACATTTTTGAGCCAGAACTTCAGCTGGTGTAAATTAGTTATGCTGCCTTTGCAATCAGTGCAGTAGTACTGATTTATATCAGCTCAAGATCTGGCCATTCAGATTTCAAGACTGAGAAGTTATATGGACAAGATATTACACACCACAGGTTTAAAAAGGAGATTTGTTTTTTACATATTAATGATACATGACAATTAAAATAAATTACAAATAAAACTTCAGAATTCTTTTTTTAATGTGCAATTAGAAACATCAACAGGAATTTGCAGGTCCTGAGTTCTTGCCCACTGTTCACTAGTCCCTATACTAGCTGAGACCACGTGAACAACTGCTGTTAGCATCTCACCTTAAGTGAGATACTGCTGCATTCCTAATTTGTCTGGCTTGGTAAATCTGAGCAGGTACGAAGCACAGTGTCCAGGACAGGAGTTGGCAGTATGGGATATCCACATATGGGTTGCAAAGAAGCTTAAATGGATCACTGCAGGAAGCAGAACAAGTCTAGAATAGATCTGTGACCCCTGCTATATTCTTTTTGTTTTTCTCAAAAGTAAAAGATCATTTCCTAGCTATGTGCCATTTACATATATACATATTGGTGGAACCATGTATAAAACAGTATTACTGACCAAAAGCTGGATGTGAGATCGAAGTGTGAGGGCCATGCATATAAGCCACTTGTTTAAACATTTTCATTTTCATTTTCATTTTTGTCTTTCAAGACGAGACTGTCTTGGCTTTCAATTCTTCCCAAGCCCTTCTTATGTATGAATTGAATTTCAAAACAAAAATTGATTCCAGATGTCTTAAGTATGTTTTTCCAGGTCTGCAATTTAAACAAGCTACAGCAATACTCACCTTCAGATAGTTTTTGATCATTGCAATATGCATTCTCACTGACAGCAGTGGAGATCACGGGGACCTTTCCTGGTTTCCCAAATCAGATTTTATTAATTTGGATTACATTCCAGATTGTCAGAAGGGCTGTGTTTTAAGGAGAATCATTCATCTGATGATCCCTAGTACAGCCGCCCACCGCATGTACAGCAGCAGCATTAACACTTTTTAATTTTCCCCCACTTTCAGCTCCAGCACTGGAACCCATTACATAGCTGGCATCTCACAAGTGCTGTTACTTTGCCCCTTGCCTCAAAAAATGATCTGTAATAACAGGGTGGCTATTAATAACTAATAGCTAACTAATAGCAGGGATACACAGAGTGATGACAGCAGGTAGGATGCCAGCCCTGAGAGATGTCCATTCAATTTCTTACTCTGAAGAGACTATGTGGTTTCTGGCAAATAATGTCATCCTTGTGCCCTAGATCCACATCTGTAAAAGGAGATATTATTTTTTTGGCTTCCATGCCAGGTAAGTATAATTAAATGACTGGGTGATCAGATGCTGCAGTTAGCTGGGATAAGGGATGCAAAATGATAATCACTGAGTCAGTTCCTTCCTCTTGGGGATAATGGAGGTCAGGTGTGCTGTATGGAGTGGAAAGCCCTGGATAATAGAGTCATCATGTCACGTACTCCAGAGACAGCTGCCAGATGATTAGACCTGCTTTGAGCAGATGTTGAATGAGATGAACTCCAAAGGTCCCTTCCAACCCAAATTACTCCTGTCACTCTGTTCCAACGCTGCACCTCTGCAAATATATCCTCCTGGAGCACGGGAGACCATGTTGCACACCCCCAAGGTAGCACTGCAGGAGACAGCTTGCCTCTGTCAGGGACAGACCAGTTCGGTCATGGTGGGCTGAACTGATTCAGGGCAGCTCGGTGCCTCCACCAGAAGTATTTGTGGCCCCTGATCCTAGAAACAGTGTGAGTGCCCTTAGGTACTGTACCTTCACGGAGCCAATCAATGGCATGGTTTATTCCAGATGACCATCTAAAGGTAATGAGAGTTCACCATATTGGGAAAAGTGCTCTCTAGTTCCCATATACCTGCCGTGTCATTTTACATTGCCACTGAATAAGTGTTTCAGTCCTTCTGCCCCAGCCCTTGCATGCAACAGTGAAAATGAGCCTTGTGGTTCCCATTGACCCTGTGTATGTTGTATGGCTCACTAAGTAACTTGGAGTGAGCTTTCTAATAGCCTTGTGAGCTGACATTGAAAATAACAGCTTCTGGGATGTATATCCCTGTGACACCCAAATTTTTTAAAGCTGTGTGTAAAATCAGACAATTTCAAAACAAAATCTGATAAAGGTAGTTTAATGGACTGTGTCACATCAGGCAGAGGGACCTACTTTCTCAGGTCTCAGAGGTCACGTCAGTGTCATGCCCGCAGGGAAGTGCTCCCAGCCTGCAGGCAGCACAAACCAACCAATCTTCTGAGGGGTGTTTGAAAGACAAATGAGAAACGTAAAACTTTAATTTACATATAAGGGTCTACACTTTTACCAGGGAAAAAAAAAAAAAAAAAAAGAAAAAAAAATATTTTAAAGATTTTGATGTAGTAGATCACGACAGAGACTTCACCCAACAAGTCTCATACATTTCTGTTTGTGTTATAGCTTCTGGGGTCCTGGACAAAATTCCACCTTCACATACACTACTGCAACTATAACTGTGACCCCCGGTTTGTGAACTGTTAGCTCCTATATAAAAGTCTGTGAATGCATATACAATATTCAGTAAAGCAGATAATATTTTCAGAACTCTGCCTCCAGTTGTGAGACACGATTGCACGTGGCCACTGCAAAACGCAGTGTCCCAAGGCTTGCAGGGCTTACACACCTGTGTTGTGGCTGAAATGGGCTGGGGGAGAAATGACACCGTCTGTGCACAGGGAGCTGCAACTGCCCTGCCCCATGGCTTCTTACTTCTTCAGGGGGAAGCCAGATCCTTGGGGCAGAAACAGAGTCATGCCTGGGGTTAATTTGCTGGCGATCAAATCGGTGGTGTGTTTTGGACATCCATACTGGAAACAACAAGATTTCATTCTCAGAAGTGAGACAAATATTCTGCTTCCCTCAAAACACTTCACAAAGAAGCAGGTAATAAGCCCCAAGAAGTTTTTGAAGTTTAGCTTCTTGTAATTACGGACAGAAAGCTGGATGGGATCCTGATACGCCCCACTCATGGGGCTGCTGTCTGAAACCTGGGCGTGTGCGAGTAGTCCTGCGTGCCAAGCCTTGTTCCTATGAACCAGGTCACAAGGCCTCCGCATCGGAAAACGGGATTAAAAATGAAAAATCCCAGTTATTTTCTAAAAATAGAAGAGTCGAGCTGGGAGAGAGGGGGAAAACCTGTGCTTGCCAACGGCTTGGCAGAGTGGGAAGAGGCCTGGCACGGCGGGTGATGCCAGGCTGAGCCCCGCGTGCCCGAGCAGGAGCCAGCGCAGGCGAGGTCAGCACCCACCTACGGAAATAAGCCCAAGGTGTAAGGCTTGACCCCACTGTGCAGAAAAGGTGTTTTGGTATCTGAAAAACAATACTTGCACTCACACTAGTTTTAAAGCAACAGCTTTCAAACCTGAATTTTAATTTAGGGGGGAAAAGAAAATCAATGCAAATACTTTGAAATTCAAGATATGCATCTATGCTTTGATAGTGCCCCATAGTTCGAAAATGTTAGTGGAGAAAGGGAAGGGGAAACAGCAGGAAGAGCTGAAAAGAGGTTTTTTTATCGTACACTTAGAGTTTCAGTATTTGACAAAAGAAGTGGATATAAATGGAAACTAAATTGAAACTGAGACTTCTTTCGTTCAACACAATATATCACTGCTACTAGTCAGCTACAACTGGGAGAGACAACTGAATTACCAGAAAACAACTTTGAAGTTGTACATGTGTTTTAGTGTCTTAATAAAGTTGAAAAAAAAAAAAAAAAGAAGCAACAACAAAAGCTGAACCCAAGTCTGAGGTTCAAGAAAAACTTTGATAACACACATATAAAATGTGTAGGGGATTTTTCAAGCCCATTGTCACACAAGGGGAATAACACACTATACAAAAGAGATCATTTGATCATTCTTTATTAAAAACTATTATATGGTTAAGCTAGAAAAGCATATTAAAAGTTTTGAGGGCTTCCTTTTTCTTTATGTTTCATAAAGCCAAGAATATTGCATTTACAATATATTGAAGTTTGGTTTTAGACTGGGAGTTTGTTTCCCTTTTTCCCTCTTTTGCAACTGAACACAATGGAATGAATGAGGACTTTGATTTTCTTTCTTTATTATCTCTTTGCTATTCCTTTTATTATGTCTAAAATATGGGGCTTTTTTCATCCTCTCCATAAAACCTCTGTCCTCATTATCTGGGAATTGAATGACTATGTTTAAAGTAATGTCTTTATTCTTGTAAATACAATTTTACAATTTTAAATGGAGCAGGGAACTACTTCTTTGCTGAAACCTTACATTTAACTATTTTAAGCTACATCATTATCTTGCTTTTCATATTTGTCTCACTATTTGTTCTACTGAGGGCTTGCTTCAAACGTTATGCTTGTTTTTGTGAAGTTTGATAGGTTTAAGTAGACCAAAGGAAAGAGAGAGAAAAAAAAAAAAAAAAAAGAAGTAAACAGATCTTTTGAAGGAGAAAAAAAAGTATCTGAAGAACAGTCATTTTGCTTGCAGGCGATTCATTACATTTATGATGTCCAAAATGCTAAACTTCAGTCTGGGTTACATTTCCTGGCTGAGATACAGAGATTCTCAGAAAATCGAGGTTTGAAATAGAAAGTCAGCAGTAACCTCATCTGGAACACAAGGAACCTCGGCGGAGGGGACAGAGCTGAGAGCGCTGCCACTTGGGAGCTGTGAACTGAAATAGAGAAGCCTGTCATCTTTATTTTTAAAATATGTCAACAAAATAAAAGCTGAAAACACACACTGTGTTTTCATTTTGCTGTGCCTGCGCTGGAAGGATTGCTCACATACCCTACCGGCACAGAGCATGACATGCCACAGTTTCTGCGCTCCGATCGCTCACTCTTATGTTACTGCTCAAGTATGCATTCAGAAAAGAGCCAACAGATATAGCAGATTTATTCTAGTTGTCGAGGTCAAGGACTCCTTTTTTTTGTTGGATTCAGCTGAGAGGGAACTCTTTCCTCATATCGCCAGACAGGCTTTCTGCTTTGCAGTCTACTGTCGGTGTGCACCACTGATAAAAAAACATGTGAGAATATTTTTAAAGGAAATTATTTATCAGTCTAAAGCACCGGTGAATTATGCACTGTTTCCAGTGCCCAAGTTAGGGCACTTTCAGCAAAGCACAGTATCTGCATGCACTGCAATTCAGAGACTCCGGCCGCTGGAAGCTCTTGCAAGCCATGTAAGTAAAGGGCTTTATTTCGCTGAAGCAAACTTCGTATATTCTCTTGCCTCATAAAAACCCTGACATAATCTAAATTTGAGATGAATTTCCTAATGCTAGTAATGGTGTTATCTTGCTGTAGCTTTGAATAACGCATGTATGTTGGCACAATAAATAACTTACCTTCCTAGAAATGTTTTGCTTGTGAGTAGTGTAAGGAGCAAAATCTGTACGCAGCTCGGGCAGGCTCTGTTTGCTTTCCTGATCGCTGACCATTTCTGTTCTCTGGGATCAGCACAGAGAACTCTGATTTCTTCAATTTCTTGTTACTCTGATTTCAAGGACAATGGCAAGCTGGCAGGAAAATGCAAAACCTGTGCAAAGGAAACCAAAGAGCAGAAAAGCAGTTTATAAAGTGGCATCAGTAAACCAAAAAGTGGTGTGTAACCCTCATGTTGTGGTCTCGTGGGATTTTTATATGTTTTATAGTGAGGTTTAAGAGGTCACAGATTATGTGACTAAGAGGAACATTAAATGATAGAAGAAATATTTTGATTGCTTTATAAATTTATCTTGACATTCATGCTCATATTTAAGTTAATCACTTTCTGCATGGTTATTTGGTGTTTACTGCAGGGAATGGATCAATTTTCTCTGAGCTTCACAATGTAATTTAAAGTCATGAAATATTTCCTTGTTCTCTGTGCAGTTCATATATGTATTGGCATCAATTGGCCTGGCAGACAGGCATTAAAATCCCAAATTTCTCATGTCTGTGAGATCCTACCTGCCTTCTTGATGGCTGCCCACATGCAGATAGGGTGATAAATGATTGGAAACTGGCTGTTGTGCCAGGAGGCTTGATTAGCTCTACTGACAAGGTACAGGTGGGATTAATCTAAGGCAGAAATTTCACACACTCAGGGTTCCCAGTATCTTCCTGTCCGGAGAGTCTCTAGCTCGTTTGAATTCCTTGCAGCCTTTCCAAAAGCACCTAATCCCTCTAAATTTTCACCTTCTATTTGGCTCAGGCTTCCTTCCAGTTCCCAACAACTTTTAGCAGGTCCTTCCCTCGAGACCTACAGGTCTGAAAAATGCAAACTCTGCCTATCACAGTGGAAATCTGGCGCATACCCACAGGGCAATACCAACTTTATATATTGTAAATACACCACTGCAATCACCTCTTGCATCAGGGGCTCAGAGGAACACAGACACTGCCCCAAAGAGTTTACTACCTCTCCCAGACCTACTGTTGACCTTCATTTCCATGACAATGCAAGACCCACGTGGGGAAAGGGGCACTGTCCATCAAGGGAAATGCCCATGGTTCATCAAAGTCCATGTGAAGGCCATCCGTGACATCAGCCAGGCAATCAGACCCAGGTGCCAAAGTAACAAGGAAATTAATAGACACGCAGAGCTGTGGAGCTGCATCATGCTGCTCCCAGTGAAGCTGGGGTGTCACATCCCTGAGCAAGAATGGGGAAAGTTCTGTAGAAAGAAGTTTGCAGGGTGATAATGATCACGTGTTGGAAGTGTATTGGCAAGAGTGAGTCAGAGATGTAGGGGATCAGTGTGAGACTTCTCTGCTGATGGAGGAAGAAGATGTTGCTTTTCAAGAGTGTTTGGAAAATGAAAAAAAAATAATTTTCAGTACAGAGATGGGTAAGAGCTGGGGTAACTTTTTTTTTCTTTGCAACTCAACTCTCGCATACCTAGCTGGTGTAACTGCACTTCAGGGAGAAAACAGCAGTTGTTACATTTTTGGAATTTATGTATATTCATGTGTTCCATTAGTCTCTTGGCAAATGCATCTTTTGAGCTCTGAAGCTTTCTGAACCTTTCATATAGTCCTTTGCTTTGAAGCAACAGATGTCTGTGATAAGCAGATGGTTATGGCTTTGAATTTGAACATCTTTAAATACTTTGTTGTCTATATTTTATGGGGAGGAATGTACTCTGTCTCACTATGCAGAACTGATGCATTTAATGAAAAGTATCCATGTCTGAATGCTTGATGTCACTTCCTAGCTTGCAAACTAATAAACCACATGTTTTTCGGGATTATTTGTTGTGAGATATTTTCACCCTATTACTTAACTTGTGTTTTCAAGTTACAAACCAAATGTAAAATGCACTCATCTGATGTGAGCTCAGTCAAAACAAATAAGCAACAAAAATAGTCAAAGGAGCTGGTCCAGTTGTGAATTGCATTCTTACTCTCATGTATACTGTGAGCAGGATGAAATCTTCCTCTTGCAGAACTTCCCAGAGGAAATAATACAGTGCTTATGGTTGTAAGTGGGAAAAAGCCTTTTGATCTTTCTTATTCTAAAATTTCTTTTTTCAGGAGGTACGGCTATGAAATTTGATGAGCAAAGAATCTAAGAACATAAGAACTTAGACCAGGGATAAATTGGGGAACAAAAATAGAAAGAGTAAATCTCAAATAAGAAGATAACTCTCATTTTCTTTCAAGGAGAAGAAGCCAGATAAACAGATTTCATCCAAATGTTTTGCTATTGGATATTCATTTACTGCTCTAAAAGCTATAGTTTTTCTCTCCCTCTCTACCTGACTTTCAGACCTGAAGTGTTTGTTTTTCAAAGAAATCTCTTAAGACAGCCTGTGACATATGTGAACTGTTTAAATTTGAATTAGTTGATCTTAAGAATGGATTATTGCACAGACTGTTGAAGGCTTTGTTGATTATAATGACACAAGATATGTTATTGCATGGACTCAGTGCTTACACCAAGCACCACACCGACTTGAAAGAAGAGAAATGACTGATTTCAACCAAGCTTTAGAATTTTTACCTCCATCTTGACAAGGAACAGGGCTGTTGAAGGGTTCATGGTGCTGGAGGGGTTCCAGAAGAGCTCAGTGGTGATGCAGGATATGCTCCTTCCCTCTGTTTTTTCCTCTTTCTCCACTCCCTCTAGGAACCTTGTCCTTTCTCACTTCTTCAGGATATAGTAGCACCTAATGCCAGGCTGTCCCAGAATACGGGTTTTCCTCTTCTGGCACCTCAGATCAGCCTGTCTTTATTCCACAGCACCGTGGCTGGTGTTCAACCTTGCTGGAGAAGAGAAGGCTTGGATGGAGAAAGGGCCTGATGGGGTCAGCACACCTCAGCGTAGCTGGTGGGACAAAATGTCCACTGTTGGGACCTCAGTGGCCAATGCCCATCTCTTCAGGTACAAGCAAAGTAGCCCACATGTAAAAAAAGCACATAGGCTGCTGACCCTTGTAGTCTGTTGCCCAAGGCTAACAGCTGCTTTAATTACTGCCTTGACTAGCTATGCATTTCCTGGTGGTTTCCTCACCCAGATGTCTTCTGGGACTGGTCATTACCCAAGACAACAGTGGACTAACAGAACCATTAGTTTGACCAGAGACAGCAGTTCCTTCAGTTCCACTTTGAAAGTCTGAAGATCTCTTCTGTTTCCATGTAGGGTTTAAAAGAAAAGAAAAAAAGAAAAAGGAAATTGTTGAAGAGTTCTATTTAACAGTCTATTATTTGACAACGTGGGGTTTAGAAATCTACGTATAAATGAGAAGGAGTTGTGAAAACTTCTGATTGATGGGTTTTCTTTCTTTCTGACAATTCTAACTGTTTAAAGGCTGTAAACGTTCAAATACTTCAAAAACTGCAGGTGGTACTCTGCTACCCGACAGCAATGTAACTCAGAGAGAGGCTCTCCAAAATAAATCCTTGCAATGATATGAAGAGATTACATTCTGATATGTGCCAGACTTCTCTTGTATCTAAATATGTGTCTGTCTATGTGGAGCTGTACTATCCATTACTGGTCTGGTGCATCACCTCAGCACATATGTATTTATTTCTCTGAATACCACCTCTTGAGTTTACAGAATTGAGGACTGAGACAAGACTCAATGACTGTTGAATCAAGATCATATTAGAAGTCTGAGAAATGAAGGCAGTTTTCCTGAATTCTGGAAATACGTGTCCATCCATGGCCACCCATAAATAAACAGTTTTTTTGTAAAGAGGGAAAGAAAACAACTTTTAATCCTTGGTGTGCTGCTGTGTGCCTATAGTCTTCTCATAAGGACAGAAGCAGAAACAAACCCTCTAAACGTGCCAGAAAGCTCTCAAACTAAATGTTGTACAAGACAATCAGCAAAACTGACTGTGAAGGACCATAAATAATAAAAATCCAGAGGTGGTCAGTATGGAGAGCCAAGCCCAGTTACCGTTACTGTGGTTCCTGTAATGCTCTTGGCAGGCAAGTGGTGCAGCGGCATACCAGTTTGCAGATGGAAGGCTAGTCTAGAAGCTGCTCTAAGCAAGCTGCTGAAATGGAGAAAAACAATGGGAACACAGCCTTTTTTGTTATAGGAAAATGAACCTGCTGGAACAGGTGTTGTCATCTCTAGTTATTAGTAGATGTTAGCTAATGCAACCTATCTTTCAGTGACTGCCCATTTCCAAAGTTCAGTGAAGAAATTAACATACTTGATATGTTCTATGTAGGGGAGGGCTGAGGTCTGCTTGTGTTCATATTTGAGAGGGAATTATTTCTGTTATATTTTTAAGGTTTCTTCTGTGGCTTTTGAGATGTTTCCTGTAATCTACCATTACATTAATGTAACATCTGCATCCAGCTTTTTCTAAAATAATGGTGAAGAAGACTATGTGGTAATTAACATAATTATTCCTCTGAACTTCAGCTCCCTTTTGGTTTATCAGCTGATGTTCTAGTAAGTAGTTTCTGCCTTGAGGAGCTGTTGATAGATAGTTCACTGAGATAGCTCAGTATCTCAGCTACCTTGTCCCTGAGATGTTTCTGATAACACTGAGAATAAAGTCAGTGCTCACTGCAAATTGACTTTGGCAGTTATCCATAGTTCAGATCCTTGACAGCACTGAGAGGCTTTGATGGAACATGTGGGAAAAGGTGACAGTGCAGGGAGTCAAAAGAAAGCATTTGGGCTGTTTTGGGTTTTTTGTGGCAATGGGGAACCAAATTCAGCATCACATGGTT